AAGTACTGACAGCAGGAAAAAAAAAAAAAAGTCACATCATCCTTCTCTTTCAAGATTTGCATTCTAAAAGGTGCAGGAAATGTGGTCTCATAGTGTTTCCATTAAGTGGAACACTTTGAATAAAATATCTGGCCTGCATTCCAGGCACAATGGAAATCAATATGGAAGCGTCGGGAGACCAGCTGGTTAGTATTCTGTAGTGAGACGTTATGTAGCACATTCAGCAGTAGCAGACATGATATGCATTTTAAGAAACGTCTTACTCCTTTGCAACATCATCTTTGCTCTTTCTTGAAGGTGAACTCTTCTAAAGTTATCTAATTCGCGGGGCGCCTGGGTGGCGCAGTCGGTTAAGCGTCCGACTTCAGCCAGGTCACGATCTCGAGCTCCATGAGTTCGAGCCCCGCGTCGGGCTCTGGGCTGATGGCTCAGAGCCTGGAGCCTGTTTCCGATTCTGTGTCTCCCTCTCCCTCTGCCCCTCCCCCGTTCATGCTCTGTCTCTCTCTGTCCCCAAAATAAATAAACGTTGAAAAAAAAAAAAAAAAAAGTAAAGTTATCTAATTTGCAAATCCTAAAAACTTGAATACAATGCTAAAATCTTGATGACTACTAAAAGTAGTTTACATCATATTGCTTTAATCTTTTTACTTTCTGCACTGGCCAGTGACATTGAAGCAAAAAAAAAAAAAAAAAAAAAGGTATTATGAAACCACAAAGTTTTCTTTCTCAGTTCAAGGAAAGTGTCCAGAGTTCAAATTAAGATGGGAAATTGAAGCAGGCTATTCAATTTAGAAATGTTAAAACTCTTGAAGATGAGTTTTAAAAGTAGGGACCACGCTCAACTTGGGGCTTGAACCCATGTCCCTGAGATCAAGTCATATGGTCTACTGAGCCAGCCAGGTGCCTCTATTTAGCTTTGGTTGGGGGTGTGGGTAGAGAAGGGAGGAGAGAGCAGAAGAATCCCAAGCAGGCTTCATGTTCTATGTGAAGCCCGACTAGGGGCTTGATCCCATGACCCAGGGATCACGAACGGAGCGGAAATTAAGAGTTGCTCAACCGAGGGAGGCACCCAGGAGCCCCGTGGCTACTTTTGATTCATACTGAATAGTTCTTTTTATTTGTCCCAGTTATACCAAATGTTTAGACGTTTTGGTTCTGAACCCTAAAAAGTCCTTAAGGGTTTCAGATACAAGATCACCTATTATGGAGACAGGAATGCCTTATTTAATGCTAATTGTTCTGAGATATACATATGATATATGCTCCAAAAGGCTGAGATGTGGTCTGATAACTTGATCACAAGTAGTTCCTGTTCCACTGACTTTGGCCTCTCCTGGCAATAGGTGTAAGAGAACAAGAATTCTTGTGAAATTTGTCTTTATGTTTAGTGTTAAGATTGTTAGTAAGTTAGTGTTAAGATTGAAATAGCAACAGCTTGGCCAGAAATTGGTCTCTCTGGCCAACCACATCATTCCTTTGTACATATTTTTTTGAGAGTCCATGGGCCTCCAAACGGCGGGGGGGGGGAGGGAGGGAGGGAGAGAAAGAGAGAGAGAGAGAGGGAGAGAGACTGAATCTCAAGCAGGCTCTGCACTGTCAGTGCAGAGCCCGATGGGGGGCTCGAAATCCCAACCTGCAAATCATGACCTGGGCCGAAGTGGGAAGCTTAACTGAGCCACCCAGGCACCTGTTCTTTTGGTTTTAAAGGCCAATATGCACCCGGCTGGTTCAGTACGTAGAACATGCGACTCGATCTCAAGGTTGTGTAAATTCAAGCCCCACATTGGGTGCAGAGATTACTTAAAAATAAAAATCTTTCGGACGCCGGGGTGGCCCAGTTGGTTGTGTCTGACTCTTGATTTCAGCTCAGGTCATGATCTCACGGTTGTGAGATCGAGCCCCATGTCGGGCTCTGCACTGACAGCATAGAGCCTGCTTGGAATCTTCTCTCTCCTTCTCTCTCTGACCCTCTCCCATTCACAATCTCTCTCAAAATAAATACAAAATAAACACTAAAAAATTTTTCTTTTAAATAATAAAATCTTGAGGCACCTGGATGGCTCAGTTGGTTAAGCATCAGACTTTGGCTCAGGCCATGATCTCACAGTTCAAGTTTGAGCCCCCCATCAGGCTCTCTGCTGTCAGCACAGAGCTTGCTTAGGACCCTCTATTCCCCCCTCTCTCTGTCTCTCTCCCTCTCAAAAATAAATAAATAATTAAAAAAAAATCTTTGGGGTGCCTAGCTGGCTCAATCAGAAAAGCATGCAACTCTTGATCTCGGGATTGTGAGTTTGAGAGTCAGGTTGGGTGTAGAGATGACGAAAAAAATAAAAATTAAAAAAATAAAAATCTTAAAAAAAAAAAGCCAATGTGTAAACTGAGTGAAAAATAAGCTGCACAATCTTTATAATTTCTTCTGAGTCTTTTTATTTTTTAAAATTTTTTTATTAAAAAAAAATTTTTTTAATGTTTATTATTGAGAGACAGACAGACACAGAGCATGAGCAGGGGAGGGGTAGAGAGAGGGGGAGACACAGAATCCGAAGTAGTCTCTGGGCTCTGAGCTGTCAGCACAGAGCCTGACATGGGGCTCAAACTCATGGACTGTGAGATCATGACCCGAGCTGAAGTCGGACGCCCAACCGACTGAGCCACCCAAGTGCCCCTGAATCTTTTTATTAAAAAAAAAAAAAAAAAAAAAAGCCAACATTCAGAAATGCCTAAAATAATTGTGAACAGGACTTCACACATGTATACCGATCTTCATAGCAGCACTAGTCACAAGAGGCAGAAGAAACCTAAGTGGCCACCGAAAGATGAATAAACAAAATGCGCTATATCCTTACAATGGAATGCTATTCAGCCATGAGAGAAACGAAGTTCTGATACATGCTACATGGACGAACCTCGAAAACATTACTCTAGGTGAAGTAAGCCAGGCGCAAAAAGGCAAATTGTAGGACTCCACTTACATGAAATATCTGGAGTAGGTGAATTCAGAGAAGCAGAAAATAGATTAGAAGCTACCAGGAGCAAGGGAAAGGGAGAGGGGGATGGGGAACGACCACCTAATAACTTCTGGCTGGGATAAAATTTCGCAAGTAGGGTCACCTAGCTGGCTCAGCCGGTAGAGCACACAACTCTTGATCTTGATCTTGGGGTTGTGAGTTCAAGCCCCACGTTGATTGAGATTACTTAAAAAAATAAAAATAAAAAAAAAATGAAAGTTTTGGAAATAGATATGAATGCTGGTTGTACGTTATGAATGTAATTAATGCCACTGACTTGTATTACAATTACATAATATAAAGGTAATATACAGTGGGAAGTGAGGATCAAACAAAATCCCAGTAAGGTATAAGGAGAGATTTTTTTTTTCAATATATGAAGTTTATTGTCAAATTGGTTTCCATACAACACCCAGTGCTCATCCCAAAAGGTGCCCTCCTCAATACCCATCACCCACCCTCTCCTCCCTCCCACCCCCCATCAACCCTCAGTTTGTTCTCAGTTGAGAGTCTCTTATGCTTTGGCTCTCTCCCACTCTAATCTCTTTTTTTTTTTTCCTTCCCCTCCCCCATGGGTTTCTGTTAAGTTTCTCAGGATCTACATAAGAGTGAAAGCATATGGTATCTGTCTTTCTCTGTATGGCTTATTTCACTTAGCATCACACTCTCCAGTTCCATCCACGTTCCTACAAAGGGCCATATTTCATTCTTTCTCATTGCCACGTAGTACTCCATTGTGTATATAAACCACAATTTTTTTAATCCATTCATCAGTTGATGGACATTTAGGCTCTTTCCATAATTTGGCTATTGTTGAGAGTGCTGCTATAAACATTGGGGTACAAGTGTCCCTAGGCATCAGCACTCCTGTATCCCTTGGGTAAATTCCTAGCAGTGCTATTGCTGGGTCATAGGGTAGGTCTATTTTTAATTTTTTGAGGAACCTCCACACTGTTTTCCAGAGTGGCTGCACCAATTTGCATTCCCACCAACAGTGTATAAGGAGAGATTTTACAAGATTAATTGGTTATGCAACAATTAAACTCAAGCATTTACGTTTCTATGTAACAGAAATGATGGGTAACAAGATAAACACGGTTCCCAATCTTATTTAAGTTTTTATTTTGCGTGAGAGAGAGAGAGAGAGAGAGAGAAAATGAACGAGTGGGGGAGGGGCAGAGAGAGATGGAGAAAGGGAGAATTCCAAGGCTCTGCATGGTCAGCAATGCAGGGCTTGAACTCAGGAACCATTGAGATGGTGACCTGGGCTGAAATCACGATTTGGTGGCTTAACCCAATGAACCACCCAGGAGTCCCAATTACTAATCTTACACAGACAAAAGAAATAGCAACATAATGAAACTTTTCCAATCCTCAATTCTTTCAACATGGTAAATATTGAGCCCCAGGTCAGGGACATTGCTTTGTATCCACTCAGAAAGCAAGAACATCTCTCTCCATGTCCGCAAGCAAGACAACAAAACCCAGAACTTTGGATCACTAGACTCAGAAACAGCGGGCAGGGGACTTAAGAATCACACTGGAGCATAAGCCTAACTGTACCGATGCCCATGTCCACGCAGTACTTTCTCACAAAGCCCTTTTGAAAACCCTACCGTTTATGCAAGTGTTCGTCCGCAACCCCTGAGAACTTGTTACAAATGGAAGTTCTTGGGCTCTACCCCAGACCTCCTGGATCAGAAACTCTGGGGGTAGGGCCCAACCATCTGTTTTAACAAGCCCCGCCGGTGACTCTGATGTGGGCTCCACTGGAGAACCGCTGGTCAAGGGCACAATAAGGTATGGCCTGTCGTGAACCCTAGATCAGAAAGGGGTGGGGGGGGGGGGGGGGAAGCCAACCAGTTGGCATGTAAAACACGCACAATGTTGTCCCCTGGCTTAAAAAACAGGTTTATGGAGAGGACATGATTTTGAAAGAACGAAAATCCTATGGCTTTTTGCTTTAGACGGCAAGAGAACTGAAAAAAGACGTGATCTTTAAAAGTATGAGTTTATTCTCCAGGGTTTTACACACCCACAAATCAGTGCTTTTATTGCAGCTATATCCAGGAGCCAAACACAACGTAAAATACGTACTTGTTGTATCATACATGTAACACTTGTAAGAGATAGAATGGAACAGCATGATTTTTAAAGATTAGTTTTCAATGATTCAGTAAGCATATGGAAATTGAGGATAATTACAGAAATCGGTATTGAACTCTAAAATAAAAACATAAATTATATAAAAATAAAAGGGTAAAAAGTGTTTCATTTAAAAACAAAAACAAAAAACAGTGGCTCATCATCTCTCTGTAGTTAGTAACCTAATGAAAACGAAAAGGAGTTAAGTATTATCTTCTCCATATTTAAAACAAAGTGGTTCTGTCCTTTTCACGAACAGCCAGCTGGAAGTCTGAAATGGAAGCCAGGGTTTGGGGTTCTGAACGTCTCAAATATTTTATTGCCCTGTGTTAGCTGATTCTTCTTCGTAACACTAAGAAATTTAAGTTGCTTGGATAGGAAAAACTCAAGAACTGGATGAGCAGTTAAATTAAATGAGATCCAGTGACTGGGACACCGTTACAAATGGCACCAAATCAGGACACACAAAGAGCTTAGTTCGAGGGCAAGCACGTTAAACAAAGACAAAAGAGGGTCAATTTGAGAGCTTGACAACAATACATCTGGCCAAATGGCCTAGGTGTTTGCCAAGTACAAGGGTAACGAGTTAGTGAGTTAACGAGAAGCTAGATTCAAATTAGCTCCAATTTGGTTTACAAATGAACAATGCAAAATGATTTCATTTTCTATCCTTTTCATTCAGCAGAAAATTGAAACCATATTCTACTGCTAGTGTGAACTTCTGATGTTCCTGAACTTGCCACCACAGTTTTGGTTAGATTTTTAAAGATGAGTGGTAGCAGATGTTTGTCATCAATGTGACCGATACATAAATTTCCGAAGAATAGACTTGGATTTAATACTGGGTTATTACTCACAATGACTCAGCATAAATAGCAGAGGTCCCTACAATTGTCCCCAGCTCTGGATCACAGAACAGTTTAGTGACCACTAAATGAAAACAAATTATGAAAAAAATGTTATTTCCACAATGCCTTTTGTTCCCCCCTCCCTTCGTTTGTATTTTCAAAAAAGCAGACCTCCTACTTTCTTTACTTTAAATAACCTTCTAACATTGTTTCATTGTTCTGTTTTCCCTGAAATAAATCAAATTTTTTAAAAACTTCCAAAAATTTGCTCATATTAATTGATCTCAGATGTTTCTTTTGATAGTATAACTACTTTTGTTTACTTCTGTAAAAGAAATGTCAATACTGTACAATCTGCTTAGAGGATGGCTGAGTCCTCCTGGATCATTTTTAAAACGTGTTAGGTTGTTATCCAGTGTTCATGTAATGGAAATCAGTTCCTATAGAGTTAATGAATTTGGAACACTAATGATGTCATTAGACCTAGATGTGAAAGCCACGAACAAACCTTATAAAAATGACTTTGCGTGTTAACCTGTGTCAACACGACGTCACTTGATTTTGTTCAGTAACTGGTCAAGACGGGGAACGGAAAGAATCGAGCTACTGTGATCGAAACCAGTTTGACTCAAGGAAAAAAAATTAAGTCTACATTAAGTCTTTAGCCTACCAATCACTCTCTACACTCAGTCTAGAGGCCTTTTGCCACAATACTAAAATACAAATTCTTCACAAATTACAACTCTATCCCAAATGTTCTGATATGCCCTATGTTGTTTTTGAAATTCTACTAAATAATTGATAGCTTTACAGCAGAATTTCTTTTATTTAAAAAATACTTAAATCCCTATCCCACAAAATGTTCAGAAACACAGGTAACTATAGAAAGTCAATGTGCATATACTGCTTTTATTATAATAATGACGGTTGTTAGCTGAATGAGAACAAATAATAGCTAAAAAGTTTTCAAATGATAGAAAAACACATTTGGGTAAGTTATGACACAAGTTTTTGAGTACGTAGACCATAGAAATAGAAATTTTTTTTTTTTTGCACCAATTGCAAATGCAAAGTTAACGATAAAATCAGGGAAGTGAAAGGTCAAAAGGGGCCTTAAACATAGTCACTATCTTTTAAATTTTAGACAAAGGAGCTGAGAATAGAAAAAAAACCCCAACATATACACCATAACAGTCTTTTTTTTTTTTGTTTTTAAATGACTTCCAATTTTAACTCTTTTCTAAAAGCATTAAGGGCACGGAGACCCTATTGTAGATTATGTATCATCTCCTCTTTGGCTATGAGGTGTGTAGTTTTGTTAACGAGAGACATCAGTGAGTTCAGTTTCTGAGACCAGTCATTTAATAAATTATTTGGATCCTTGGGTCTCTGGAAGTTGATAATTCCTGCCAACCTGTCTACTTTAGCAAAGATGGTCTTGTTAACTACTAGATTCGAAAGAAAAGCTTCTGACTCCTGCAAGAGAGAAAGACAAATTGGATTAAGACAGGATAATTAAAAAAAAAAGCGTAATTACAGAAAATAATTTAAGGAAAAATTTAAGGAAAGCATTTTCTGTCTTTTTAAAAAAAAATGTTTATTTTTGAGAGACAGAATGTGAGCGGGGGAGGGGCAGAGACAGAGGGAGACACAGAATCCAAAGCAGGCTTCCTATAATAACGTATTTATTTTACTGCGAGTCTAGGAAATGTCTGCTCTTGGTCTACAATGGTCCCCCCCCCCCCCCCCAGCACATTATGCAGTTAATTTGTTTCCAGAAACACTGGGTTACTATATATGCCCTGTCACTTGGCAGCTATGTAACTAAGGACAAGGCACTTTACTTCTAAGGACTCTGGTCCTCACGGTCCAGAAATGTGAGGAGCTGATGAGCCAACCAACGATCAAGTCTTTGACCTCTAACATCCGTGATTCCTCTTTTTTAGCTAAACTGGAAAACACTATGTGATGACAGAAATGGCTTTTAGCTCACATCACTTCACTCTGTGGTGGGTGAACATTCCAGCAACAGGAACTCAGGCCTGAACGTAACATTCTTCTAATATGACCTGGGCCCTCGGCAGGGGGGCTGCAGCAAAGTCTCCATCACAGTTTACATCTCTATGGTTATTTCTGGGATCCCAGACATATTTATGACAGAAATATAAACCCCAGGCAAATGAATCAATGTAAAACTGCCATATTTAAGAGAAGATTTTAACTAGGACACAATATTAATGTAATTATAAGCTTGGTGTTTAGGCTATTTTTTGATCCTCAAGATAGCCTGGAGAAACCTTCTGCCACCTAAGCTTAAAACTAAATAATGAAACAAAACTGATTTTCTCATTTGATTTTTGTAAGTCAGCTGATATTCAAAATGACTGGCTACAAACAGCTCATGCAACATTTACCACTTACATCAACAGACAGATCGAGAAGCTGGGCCATCCTCGTCATTGTTATCCTCGTGTAATACTTGGCCATTATTCTAATATTCTGGGGAGAGAACAGAGGGCATATGAAGGACGGGTAACAGTTGTCGATAAAGCTAACAGCCCATTTGTTTTCATTTCCAAACAGGTTTAGTTAAAATGTCGGATTCAGAGCTTTTGGTTCTCTATAGCCCACCACGGTTCTAAAGTTCAACAACAAAGTAAAAAATTTAGGTATTTTGACTTCTGTAGTTATTTGCAAGTTATTCTGAATACTCTCGACAACTTTTTTAAAGCTTATTTATCTATTTATTTATTTAGAGAGAGACAGAGATAGCATAAACATGGAGGCACAGAGAGAGAGGGAAAATCCCCAGCAGCCTTCACACTGTCAGTGCAGGGCCTGATGCGGGGATCAAACTCATGAAACTGTGAGACCATGTATGACCTGAGCCAAAATCAAGAGTCAGATGCTTAAGCGACTGAGCCACCAGTCGCCCCTACTCTCTCCAACTCTCTTTTAAATATACATAGTCAAGGGCTGCCTGGGTGGCTCAGTCAGTTGAACATCCGACTCGTGATTTCAGCTCAGGTCATGATGCCAGGGTCGTGGGGTTAAGCCCCGCATTGGGCTCTGTGCTGTGTGGAGCCTTCTTGAGATGCTCTTTCTCTCTCTGGACCTCTCCCCTGCTCATGCATGTGCTCGCTCACTCTCTAAAATAAAAAAAAAAAAAAAGAAATCTATTAAAAATACATATATGTGGTCAAAACCTAGGCTTATCTTAACTAAAACAATGGTTAAAAACTATAACGATACTATTTTTGCTAAATGCAAGAATCTAAAGTTAAACTTTCCTAATTATGACACAGATGTTTAAATGGCTCAGATTCAAAAAGTGATCGAGAGTATCTCAAAACACCACATTATCATAACTGTTGAAAGGTAACTTGAAATTAAATGTCCCAATTTTCACTGGAAATGGTGCTCAAGTTAGAGACTTCCCTTTATTATTATGTTATTAACAAAACAACAGCATTCACAGGGGAAATGGGGAACAGTGGGAAGAAAAATGAATGGATCTTTGAAGAAGCCGTGTCTTCTCCTGTCTCTGTTAGGGTCCAGGGCCACACCAGCTTCTTAGGAAGCAGGGGAATCATTCTGGACCCCTCTTCCTTCATAACTTTCAATTTAATCAGTGACCAAATTCGATTGATTTTCTTTCTTAAAATATTTCCACCTCATCCATTCTTCTATCCTCAGCTACTGCTTTGGCTGGAGCCCACAGGAGCCCTCGCTTCGTCTTCTCAGTTCCATTGTGGTCTCTCTCCAAACACATTCTCCACGCTTACTGCTAGAGGGCTCTGTGTCAGATATGGGCCTGGCCACCGTCCTCTCGGTTTCCACGACTGGAGTATATACACCTTGTTACGTTCCAGACCCTTACCGTATCTCCGACTTCCTTCCTGGCTGAGCCCTGTTCCTGGAGGCCCTAAGGTTCCCCTGCTGGTCGGTGTCTCCATGCCTTTGCTCAGACTATCCCACCTGCACGCTAACCTGGTTCTCTTCTTATGAATCTTCCCTCCTGTGTCAATTAACCGCGGCTCTTGCCTGACCGTTCTTTCAGGCAGAACCAATCAACTTTCTCCTCATGCTCTACTCCATTCGATATATACTTGTACCCTAATATCTGTAACATTTTTTTAAAGTTTATTTATTTGTATTCTGAGAGAAAGCAAGAGCGTGTGCATATCCACAAACGGGGGAGGGGCAGAGGGAGAGAGAGAGAATCCCAAGCAGGCTCCACACTGTCTGCAAAGAGCCCCATGCGGGGTGAACTCACAAACTGCAAGGACATGACCTGAGCCGAAATCAAGGGTCGAACGCTTTACCAACTGAGCCACCCGGGTGCCCCTGTAACGCTTTTATTTATAAATGCATCTTTCCTATGATTTCTTTTTAAGCTTTCTGAAAGCAGGGCCCAAGTCTTCCTTTCCCACATGCCTCAGCACTTTGAACAGTGTCTGGCACACAGAAGGCTCAATAGGATGTTATATGAATGAATGCTGAGCTAATTCAATTTGTAGTGACACCAAGATCAAAGGTCAGGTTTAAGACATGTTACCCATTCTCCAAACCACCAAGCGAGTATCAGACGGAAAACACTCCTTTCACCCACAACTACCCCCCACATTCTTAAGAAATTCCTGCTGGTTTATATGCTGTAAAATTTTGGATTCTCAAGAGGTCCCCACAAAATAAGCATGCTAAAACATCGTTTTCTGAGAAGCCAAAAAATGGGGGAATGTGGTGGTGGGGGGAAGAGGGAGTAAGAGGGAGGTGATAAATTCTGACGTGCTTTGGGAAAATATACAATAAACATTTAAATAACAAATTTACATCTCTACGACACTGGGAATAGCCTCCCTACCTCCAAAAAATCCTAAAGCAAAGAACTAAAGACATAACCTCCAAAGAAACACTGGACTATCAAACTTAAAAATCAAAGTTTATGCTCAACTTTACTTCCAGGTTGGCAACTCTGTCATGCCTTTTTTTTTCTTCACTATTTTTTTCGGCCATCTCTATGCCCAACATGGGGCTCGAACGCATGACCCCGAGATCAAGAGTCGCACACTCTTCTGACTGAGCCAGGTGCCCCATCCACCATGCCAGATTCTTACATGTTCAACGACTCTGTTCTTCAGGTCTTTCCACCTTCTTTCACCTTCCTCTGTAGAACCAAACACATCAGTTGCCGGACTCTCGGGAGACCCTTTCCTTAATTCCAGTCCATAGTCTTCAACAAGCGTGGACCAGCGCATCAGCTCCATTGTGGTAAAAAGCTTTAAAAGATCCCTGTAAATTGTATAAAACTTAATATTCCCAATCTGTAAAAATTGTTTTATCTAATATAACAGCAAATGTTTAAAAACTGTCAAAGACTGTACTTATAAAATCTCTACACTCAATGGGGACTCAAAGTTAGGACCCTGAGATCAAGAGTCGCACACTCTTCCGACTGAGCCAGCCAGGAGCCCCTGATTATTATTTATTTTGCCTACTTTACTATCATTTTTTCCATAGTAATTCCGAACGGAGCATTCCCCTCTTAACATTCTATCCCCTACTGCAACGTATTTGCCAATCTCTGGAATAATTAATGTAAACTTACTAATGAGGCAGATAAAAGAAAAAAACAGCTTTTAAATAAAAGCCCACTGTGCTTATGAAGTGTGTGTCTGTTTCATATAGTATGTACTTCTGAAAATCACGAAGCCCCAAATTACTAAAACTTTATCAAATGGTTAATTAACCAAAAGCTGCTAAAGTGAGCTTGAAATGCAACTTCTACTTGATAAGTGGTTTAGAACGAAGAGTGTAATTTCGAATACAGCGCAAAAACACATTTCGCTATTTTATGAACTCTAGCTTTGTTCGCCAATACAATCTATCAGCAACCAAGTAAGAAGGTGCACACTTAGATTAACCAATTTTCTTTCATGATGGTGTTTCTGCTACTTTAGCTATAAATGTACTTACTTGTATTTAGGAATTTCTTCTAACTTCTTGTCGCCACTTATTCGGTGAACCAAATCTGACTGTTCATTGTCAAAAGGAGCCAAGATCACATAGAGGACAACACTTTTCAGAGCCTACAAATGTTTTATAACACAATGGATTATATGTAAACTTAGAAACAAAATGGAAACTTTGGCAGGAACTAAAAAAAATCACAAGAGAATTGTCTATATTCATGTTTGATATTGTACTCAAGTCTTAGGGAATAAACACCCTATCAAGCTGATCTTTACACAGTGGCTTTCTGTCGTAAGTTTTTCTGGAGCAATTACGTAAATCCTCGCTAATCTGAATTACTCTCTGGGCTGACACCTTTTTCGGTGACAAATGTATAAAGAAAAAGTTCTTATAACAAGTTAGCAGCACAAATGTGGAATATACCTATCAACTATCTGAAACAGTATTGTGAAATAATTTTCCAAAGTAATGCCAGGTCTTTGCTTGTAACCTTATTAGCAAGTGAACTGCTATACATATTTACTTTCATTTATTTTATTATTTTTAACTTTTAAAAATATTTATTTTTGAGAGAGAGAAAGAGTATGAACAGGGGAGGGTGAGAGAGAGAGGGAGACACAGAACTCAAAGAGGCTCCAGGCTCTGTGCCGTTGGCACCGAACCCGACACGGGGCTCCAACCCACAAGCCTCAAGATCATGACCTGAGCCGAAATTGAATGCTCGAACCCATGAGTCTTGAGATCATGACCTAAGCCGAAGTCGAATGCTGAACTGATTTGAGCCACCCAGGTGCCCCGTATTTTAAGTAATCTCTATACCCAACATGGGGCTTGAGCTCACAACCTCAAGGATCAAGAGTTGCATGCTCTACCGACTGAGCCATCCAGGTGCCGCTATACACACTTTAAATAGCAAACCTACATTCTTCAAAAGTGACAAAGAACTTAGAGTATCGCCACAATTTGTTTGAATCAGTAAAGATAAACTGAATTGTCAACACACTGAATAGAAAGCAGCACCATACAACTGCTTATGATTACTGAAGTTAAACTTATTTCAAAATAAAAAATGCAAATTCTTCCTAATAAGTATCGACGTCCAGTATAAGAATATATTCTTACCTGTTGCCACTTTTCACTTTCTGCCTGTATACAGGGAGTATCATATATTGCTCTGTAGTGCTTACAAATAGACAAATAGGACCCCTCATGTTGATCCAGCTGAATCATTAAGTTATAATATTTCAACTTTAATTTCTGGAAAAAAAAAAGTTGATAAAATAAATTGGGGCTTATGGTTTTTCCCCCCAAATACTCCTACAGTAAACTTGTAGTTAAGAGACATGCTTACCTCTGTATTTTCTTCCTGGAAAAATTTGGTGTTAATTTTCTTGCTGATGATTTGTGTACGAATGTAATCCTTCACAGCTAGACAGAGCCTCATCTGCTCCAAAATAAACTCCACTCGCTCTTTCTTTTCCATTGATCCGTAGGTTTCCACCTAGCGAAGTCCCCAAATAAGTTTATATTTGTTAATTTTTAAAAACTGCAAAGTTAAATGTATTAAAACATTCACGCCTGTCCAATAACAAGAAACGTCTCGCACACTGACAGAGTACTGATGATGATCTAAAAAGCTGGTTTCCTCCAGGAAATTACAATTTTTTTTTTTTAATTTTTTTTTCAACGTTTATTTATTTTTGGGACAGAGAGAGACAGAGCATGAACGGGGGAGGGTCAGAGAGAGAGGGAGACACAGAATCGGAAACAGGCTCCAGGCTCCGAGCCATCAGCCCAGAGCCCGACGCGGGGCTCGAACTCACGGAGCGCGAGATCGTGACCTGGCTGAAGTCGGACGCTTAACCGACTGTGCCACCCAGGCGCCCCAGGAAATTACAATTTTAAAAAATATATAGTAAATGGCTATTTTTTCTTCTGGTATAAAAAGTTCTGTGAATTTTCACCTATGTAGTTAACAATAGTAGAACTATGTAGTTAACCTATGTAGTTTAACCGCCATCACAATCAAGATACAGAACAGTTCTTTCAGCCCCAAATACTCCCTCGTGCTACCCCTTTACAGTCACATAGTTCCCCCACTTTGAACCCTCGACAGCCAATGATTCTGAAACAACAGGTCCATTCCTTTTTAGGGCCACGAAGTGTTCCACTGTGTGGAGGAACCAGTTTATCCACTCCCCGGCTGAAGTACAGCTGGGCCGTTTCCAACCTGTGCCCATCACTAACAAGGCTACTCTGAACACCAGTGGACAGGTTGAGTGTGAACTTAAGTTTTCATTTCTCTTGGGCACAAGAAGCGGGACTGCTCGGTCGTCTGGCAAGCATACGTTCAGCTTCATAAGAAACTGCCAAACTGCAGACGATGGCCCTTTCTCACGATGGTCTGTGGATGGCACTGTGGCCAGTGCCGATAATGCCAATGGCTCAGCAGATGCCAGGAAAAAAAAAAAAAGAAAAAGAAGGAAACTGCCAAACTGTTTCCCAGAGTGACTGCACCATTTCTCATTCCCATCAGCAACGGGTGAGCGTTCTCATCACTTCGCATCCCTGCCAGCGCTTGGTATTGTATTTTTTTTTTTCTGAGCTGTTCTAATACGTGTGTAGGGATATCTCACTGTGGTTTTAATTTGCGTTTTCCTCATGGCTAGTGAGGAAGTTACAATTCTGAACCCAAAATACGATGCCACTTGCAGGCTATTTATATAATAAAAAAATTAAGGAAAAAAAGAGGTTCTAGCCTTTTTATAATTCGGATAACAAGGCTGACATGACTCCAAACGGATGCAGGATGTACAGTTACAGTCAATATGCAACAGATACAACATAGAAAATCAGTTACGTCAAATACTATGAAAACATTTTTAATACTTGGTACACACATATTGCAAATGAATTTATAAAATGTAGAATAACAAAGTAAAATGAAGTAAGGCTATTATTATTAGGTCTGAAAGGTTTTTATTTCATGGTCTTTGTAATTTTTTTACTAAAGAAAATAAAAACGTATACACTGATGAATGTATGTAGGCAAATCCCTAAGGAATGAAACCATCGATGTTCCATCTATGTATGTTCACTCACTCTGCATGTGTCAAGTATTTTGAAGCAAATTTCAGGTAACATCTTACATTTATTTCAGTATGTATTTCTAAAAGAGAAGCTGAAAAAAAAATGATCATACCTAAAAATTTCTTAGATCACTAAATATCTAGTCAGTCCTCAATATCTCATTTAATTAAATCAGAATCCAAATAAGGCTTATACTTTGCAAGTGGTAGGTAAGTTTCTTTTAGCCTTGCCATTTATTTATTGACAAAATCAAGCCAATCATCCTACAGTTTCCTGGAGTCTAAATTACACTGATTGCATCCCTGTGGTATCATTTAATAAGCTCCTCTGTCCCCAGTGTATCTTGTAAACTGGTAGTTAAACCTAGAAGCTTTATATAATTGAGGTGATTTTTTCTGGCAAGAATATTTCAGAGGATGTTAAATCGTGGGGCACATAGTCCTCCTGGTTGAAAGACAAAACTATGGAGATGGTAGAAAGATCAGTGGTTGCCAGGGGGTGGGGGAGTGGAGAGAGGGAGGAATAGAGCACAGAGAATTTTTAGGGCAGTGAACTATTCTGTATGGTACTACACTGATAAACACACGTCATTAGACATTTGTCAAAATCCACAGAATGTACAACATCAAGAGTGAACCTTAAAGCAAACTATAGACTTTGGGTGATCATGTGTTGACACAGGTTCATTAACCGTAACTAACGAACCACTCTGGTTCGAGATGCTGGCAGGAGGGGAAGTGGTGCGTGTGTATGTGTGGGTGTGGGGGGGATGGTGCATCGGGGGCTATATGGGAACTCTCTGTACTTGCCACTCAGCTTTGCTGTGAACCTAAAACCGCTCCAAAAAATACAGTCTTTTAATTAAAAAGAAGAAAAGGAGTTTGAAGTCAAACAGAACTAGTGTGAATCTGAACTCTACCGACTCTTGGCAATGACTTTAGGCACATTACTTAATCCTTTTAAATTTCAGTTTCCTTGGCAGAAAAATGGGGATAGAAATAGTGTCGTGTGTGAACATTAAATAAGATAAAGTGTATAGAGAACTCAAGACATGCTTTAAAAAAAAGGACACAGACAACGCAGGGCACACGAGATCCTCTCAGTATTATGGTTCCCCGTCCTTTGGCTAAAATGGCACATGACTGAAAAATCAGAAGAAGCAATTGAACTTACTGGGGAAACCTTGATGGGCCAAAATTATAAACAAAATTTTGAGTGTAGTTCAGGTACATTTTTTTATTAGGGAGTCTGTGGCTTTTCTCAGATTTCTTAGCTCTTTGCTATCTCATTTTAAGATCTCTCCTAAAAATTTGTCCTGAAACATAGCAAATTATGATGCAAAAAACTTGTCTTTGTTAAACCAATTTAGTCTAGAAATTGACCAACAATCAAGTATTCATTTAAAACGAAGCTGATGATTAACAGCAAATCCCTAACGCATCAGTAAACAGTACGTGAATTACTGATTTAAGTTCTAAAGAGGATGAAAATGTTAAAATAATAGCACACATCAAGACTGATTCATTGCTTCTAACTTTTCTTCACAACTTTTTTTTAGCAGTTTAGTTGGGACCATAATGACATAATTCTCAGGTACTTGAATAACCCCACCCTCCACTGCCCTCACCCTCAACCTTGGTAGTTTTGAAGAAGTGACCAGGTGCCAAAATAAGCTCTGTCTACAAGAAACACTGCTGACCAAATATCAGGATTTTCACATTCTAAATACAACTCCTTACCTGTAACTCTTGTAAAATGGAGGCTGCCTCTTTCACATCACCATTTTGTTCTTTTATGGTTGCTAATGTTTTAGTCAGTCGAGCACGCTCAATTTCAACATAAATCTACAAATATGAGAAATCTGTATTATGAAAATTCTCAGACATGTATTAAAAGTTTTTTAAACTTTTTTTTTTTCAACATTTATTTATTTTTTGGGACAGAGAGAGACAGAGCATGAATGGGGGAGGGGCAGAGAGAGAGGGAGACACAGAATCGGAAACAGGCTCCAGGCTCTGAGCCATCAGCCCAGAGCCTGACGCGGGGCTCGAACTCACGGACCGTGAGATCGTGACCTGGCTGAAGTCAGTTAAAAGTTTTTTAAATGTTTATTTTTTTATTTAAAAAAAAAAATTTTTTTTTAACGTTTGTTTATTTTTGAGAGAGAGAGAGACACAGCATGAACAGGGGAGGGGCAGAGAGAGAGGGAGACACAGAGTCGGAAGCAAGCTCCAGGCTCTGAGCCATCAGCCCAGAGCCCGACGCGGGGCTCGAACTCGCGGACCGTGAGATCGTGACCTGGCTGAAGTCGGACGCTTAACCAACGGAGCCACCCAGGCGCTCCTAAATGTTTATTTTTAAGAGTGAGCAAGCACACGAGCAGGGGAGGGGTGGAGAGAGAGAGACTGAAACGGCAAATCCCACGAAGTGGGCTTTGTGCTGTCAGTGCAGAGCCTAACGCGGGACTGGAACTCATGAACCATGAGCCAAAATCAAGAGTTGGACACTTAACCAACTGAGCCATCCAGGTGCCCCTAGTTTTGAGAGAGAACAAGCGAGTGAGGCAGAGGGAAAGAGAGAAAGTTCAAGCAGACTCCAAGCACAGGGCAAAGCTAGATGCAGGGCTTGATCCATGACCCTGGGATCTTCACCTGAGTGGGTGAAAACCAAGAGTGGGATGCTCAAGGGGCACCTGCGTGGCTCAGTCAGTTGGGCATCCAACTTTGGCTCAGGTCATGATCTCGCAGTTCATGTGCTGACAGCTCAGGGCCTGGAGCCTGCTTTGGATTCTGTGCCTCCCTCTGTCTCTGCCCCTCTCCTGTTCACGCTCGCTCGCTCTCTCTCAAAAATAAACAAACACCAAAAAACATTAAAAAAAAAAAAAAAAAAAGTGGGATGCTCAACTGACCGAGCCACTGAGGTGCCCCAAAATGTGTTAAATTTGTGTGTGTGTGTGTTAAAATTTTAAAGGTAGAAATGAACTATTATTCAAACCAAGCCTAATAATATTAGTATTTATCATCCAGTTATGGTGCACTTTATCCTCCATGTACAAATACAGCTGTGTGATTTTACATCTCACAATCACATAATTTTTTAAGAAAATGTTTCTACAAAACATTATCCATATTTTGTAGCTTTACTTTGAGAACCTAAACATGAAATCCTTGTGTTTAATGAGTAACAGAACCACATGCTACGTTAAATAGCACAGAAAATAGAACAGTGTCTTTAAAAGAATTGAGGGGCGCCTGATTGGCTCAGTCAGTAGAGTATGCCACTCTTGACCTTGGGGTCATAAGTTCAAGCCCCATGTTGGCATAGAGCTGACTTAAAAAAAAAATAATAATAATAAGATAAAAATATCTGATCTTAAGTATTAAAGTTATGAGCATTTTTTGCAGCTATGTAATGTTAGATGATATAATTTCCGACAAATTAAACATAAAAAATAGAACTATAGCCTAATCGGGGCACCTGGGTGGCTCAGTCGGTTGAGTGTCCAACTTCAGCTCAGGTCATGATCTCACGGTCGGTGACTTCGAGCCCTATGTTGGGCCCTGTGCGGACAGCTCAGAGTCTGGGGCCTGCCTCAGATTCTGTGTCTCCCCCTCTCTCTGCCCCTCCCCCGCTCACGCTCCATCTCTCTCTGCCTCTGAAAAATGAATAAACCTAACAAAAAAAATTTTTTTTAAAGAACTATAGCCTAATCAAGTCTAGGGAACTAATTTTCATGTTTGGGCTTGCTTGTCCCTTCAGCCTTTGCTTTGCAGTAACCCTTTTTCCCGCTCCACCCCCAAAAACCTTAATCTCCAAGAATAACAAACTACTTCCACTTCCCTAAATGTTCCATGTGTTTCTTACTTTGACATATTTGTATAGAATTTCCCCTATGTCTAAACTGCCGTTCCCCCTATGCCCCTACCCCTGTGAATTTTTATTCTTCTTCTTTTTTTTTAAATAAAGTTTATTTATGTTGAAAGACACAGAGAGCGTACAAGTGGAGGAAGGACAGAGAGAGAGAAAAAAGGACAGAACTCCAAGCAGGCACCACGCAGAGCCCTTATGTGGGCTTGATCCCACAAACCATGGGGTCGTGACCTGAGCTGAAATTAAGAGTTGGATAGTCAACTGACTCAGTCACCCAGGTGCCCCAAATTTCTATTCGTTTTTTAAAAAAACTTTATTTAAAAAAATTATTTTTTTTAACATTTGTTTTTGAGAGACAAAGAGCACCAGCAAGAGAGGGGCAGAGAGAAAGTGAGACACAGAATCTGAAGCAGGCTCCAGGCTCTGAGCTTGTCAGCACAGAGTCCGACGCGGGGCTCAAACTCACAAAGTGAGAGATCATGACCTGTGTCGGATGCTTACCTGACTGTGCCACCCAGGCGCTCCAAAAACATTATTTATTTTGAAAAAGAGAGAGAGTGCACACGAGTGTGGGTGGGGCAGACAGAGAAGGGGAGAGAGAGACTCCCACGCAAGTTCCACACTGTCAACACAGAGCCCGACGTGGGGCTTGAACTCACGAACTGTGAAATCACGACCCGAGCTGAAATCAAGAGTTGGGCGCGTAACTGAGCCACCCAGGCGCCCCAAATTTCTATTCATTCTTAAAAAGCCAGCTCAGCCATCACACCCTGCCTCTGTGACATGGGAACGGCAGACCCACTGCCACTGTCGAGACAGCGCAGCGACTATTTTTCTGATGGATCTCTTTGCGGTGGTAAAGAACAGCGTCATGTTCATTCTGGATCTAGCACAACACAGGTGCTCAATAAACATTTACTGAACTGATGGCACAGTCAAACCAAGACCCAAGAAGTTAAACATAGGCTAAAGTTTTGTCCTCAAATCACAAATATCTGTCCAGAAAAAAACATATTTACCTCAGTCACCATTTTATACTTGCCGTTTTTAAAGAAACAAGATTAGGAGGAAAAAAAAAAAAAGCATCAAAACAAATACAAACAGATTCTGGTCAGACAGTGAAAGTTTTGAAATTAAGTTTACACTGCAAATACTCAATTACTTTATTTGTTTTGAGAGCGAGCGAGCACAAGCAGGGAAGGGGCAGAGAGAGAGGGAGAGACAGGATCCCAAGCAGGCTCTGCACTGTCAGCGCTTGACACAGGGCTTAACTCATGAACCATGAGATCATGACCGAACCGAAATTCAGTCGGATGCTTAACCAAGTAAGCCAACCGGGCACCCCTGTTACTATTAATTCTTAAGTAAACTACACTCATCATGGGGCTGGAACTCAGGACTCCAAGAGTCACAAGCTCTCCCAACTGAGCCAGACATGCACCCCAATACTTTTTATTTGTTTTGAGAGAGCGAGTACATGTGCACGTGAGCTGGGGAGGGGCAGAGAGAGAGGGAGAGAGATAACCCCAAGCAGGCTCCATACTCCCCATGGAGCCTGACGAAGGGCTCCATCTCAGGAATGAGATCATGATCTGAGCTGAAATCAAGAGTCAGATGCTTAACTGAGCCACCCAGGAGCGCCTCTATTAATTTAAATAGTAGAGTAAAACTGTAGCTATCCCAAGCATAGATTTCTCAAGCAGATCTAGGCCAGGGTGAAGAATTAACTATCTTTAATTATTGCCACATGTAAATATGGAGTAAGATCACTAATTCCCAGAAAAATCTGGATATATCAAGACTGCCACTATTTTAAATATATTCATGTGTAAATTGGGAAGATACTACAAGGAAAAGTACAAAGATAATGGTTGAATCAAGGTGATGACCTATTTTGTCATCTTAAATATATACTGATCTAATGTCTGCATATCTAAATATCTCTGAACACAGATAGGATAGTAATTTCCACTATGAGTTATGCCAATGGAAAACTTACCTTGCCTTCTGTAACCATTCGCAGAGTATCAATTAATCGAAGCTTGATCGGAAGGTCTGTGATTTCCTCGACGTAAGTACAGCACTGTTGAACCATTTTTGCAACAGCCTAAAATGATAAAAACCATTCATAAGCAAGGTTCATTTCTCGTACAGTTAAAAATGAAGTATTATGCCCATAACGAAACATAAGGGGCGCCTGGCTGGCTCAGTCAGTGGAGCGTGCAACTCTTGATCTTGGGATTATAGGTTGGAGCCTGATGTTGGGTGTAGAAATTACTTAAAAAAATAAAATCTTGGGGGCACTTGGGTGGCTCAGTTGGTTGTGTCCAACTTTAGCGCAGGTCATGATCTCATGGTTCATGAGCTGGAGCCCCATATCGGGCTCTGCCCTGACAGTGTAGAGCCTTCTTGGGATTTCCTCTCTCTCCTTCCACTCCTCCCTCACTTGCTCGCTCTCCCCAAATAAATAATAAACCTTAAGGAAAAAAAAAAAAAAAAGAACAGGTATACTTTCCATTCTGTTAAATAAATACACACACAAATAAATAAAATCTTAAAAAAATAAAAGGGAGGGGGTGCCTGGTGCCTGGCTAGCTCTGTTGGTAGAACATGCAACTTTTTTTTTTAATGTTTTATTTATTTTTGAGACAGACAGAGTGAGCAGGGAGGGGCAGAGAGAGAGAGAGGGAGACGCAGAATCTGAAGCAGGCTCCAGGCTCTGAGTTGTCAGCACAAGCCTGACATGGGGCTTCAACTCACAAACCGCGAGATCATGGCCTGACTTGAAGTCAGATGCTTAACAGACTGAGCCATCCAGGTGCCCCTAGAGCATGCAACTCTTAATCTCAAGAGCCGTGAGTTCTACCCCCATGTTTGGCATAGAGCTTGCTTAAAAAAAAAAATCAAAATGTCTCTGACAGCTAAGATGTACTGAACACCCAGGAATAATGTAAAAAGGTTAGGAAAACCTCAGGTGCAAAGACTTTACCCCTCCCCACTACAAAGAGCGAACATACATGATTACATAAAAGGGGTATTTGACGATGTCTATTAGAAGGCTTCCTAGCTAGCTTTTTTGGAGCCAAACAAAAAAGCATGGAAGAAGTTGTAACAGACGAAAGGGGGAAAAAGGACAAGAGAAAAGCAGGGGTCACCAGTGGCTATGAACAGCAATGAAGCCACAGCTAGCAGATACTGTGAGTTAAGAAAGAGTCCGTAGCAGAGGCAGAGGGTTTAGCAGCCGCCCCCCCCCCCGCCCCCCGCCGGGCCTCAGGAGGGCAGAGAAGCCACAATCACCCATACTCCCCTCAATGAAACAGGACATTGAAAGTCACAGCATCCCCTGCCCAGGTTTCTCAGATAATGTAAGTGGGTTGGATACATTTCCTCTAGCTCTAACATTCTAGGTCAGGGGTCAGCAAAACTTCTCTGTACGTTTTAGTAAAGATTTACACAGTAAATATTTTAAACTTTGTGGGCCATAGGGTTTCTGCCTCAACTATTCAACTGCCTTTGTAACCTCAGAAGCTGCCAGACAATATATAACAAATGGGTGTGGCTGTGTTCCAAAAACTCTATTTACAAAGCTGACAGGTGGGATTTGGACCGTGGCCTGTAGTTTGCAACCTCTAATATAGACTCTGAACAGCATTATCAGTTATGATAATCATTGAGAATAATAATTAGGCCTCTTTGTCATAAAGAAAATGTTAAACTATATTAAATACATTTTGTTTAAGACAGCAGAAAAGTAAACAGAATATCTTGCTGTCAACTGTACCTCAATCATGCTGGGGGAAAAAAAAATCCGATTGTATATCTTGCAAAGATTTCCTTAAAAAACAATATTCAGGTAGTTCAGGTCAAACTTCTAATTAACTGAAAAAATGGCCATTCAGAGACACACAGGAGTTCCAGAAAATAAAGGTTTTATTGTAAAACACAACTCTTTCAGCAAGGGTCTGGGACACGTTGTATCTCAAAACATGATCCTTCTGGGGCGCCTGGGTGGCTCGGTCGGTTAAGCGTCCGACTTCGGCTCAGGTCGTGATCTCGCGGTCCGTGAGTTCCAGTCCCCCGTCAGGCTCTGTGCTGACAGCTCAGAGCCTGGAGCCCATTTCAGATTCTGTGTCTCCCTCTCTCTGACCCTCCCCTGTTCATGCTCTGTCTCTCTCTGTCTCAAAAATAAACGTTAAAAAAAAAAATTAAAAAAAAAAAAACAACAACAAAAAACCATGATCCTTCCAACACTAATTATAATAATGATTTCTACAAGGGCATACAAATTAGTAATTCTAAAAGCTGTGCAAAAACTACATTAACAGAAATCAGATGGGGTAAAAGAAAAACAAAACAGTTATATCAATATTCTAATGATAAGTGAACATCCTGCTGCTCTCTGAGAAAAACACAAGTCATTAGGTAAGTCATGGTAGGAGTGAGGCTTACCCCCTGGGCTCAAGTGACAGACAGTGAATTAGAAACCATTAATTTTAAGCAATCCAGAAAAGGTTATTTTAAGAAAATCATTACTTTCTAAGTCTGGTAAAGCAGAAAGAAAAGCTTTAGGTAAAAAGTAATTATGGGAAAAGGAAAGAGACATTCTGAGTCCCTAAGCACCTTCCAGAGCTAAGACATAACATTGTTGTCACGGTGAAAAGGGCAGTGCCACTGCAGTCGGGGTCATCCGTCAGCCAGCTGGGAGATGGGCTCACACTCCTCTTTCTCCAGGACGCTCCCCACCCCCCCGCCCCCCGACAAATGTAATCAAAACCTTCTCTTCCTCCTATCAGGTCTCCTAGCACCGCTGACATTGTGTGTCACTTACTGTATACTGCTGGGAGTGTGTGTGTAACTTAAAAAAAGTAAAATAAAAAATAAGTCACCTTTAGGGCACTTGTTAAAGAGGTACTACACTACTATCAGGGATCATATTCTGTACTGAACCAAAGGTGACCTGGCACATTTCTTCACATTCCAAGAGTCTTACATAGAAATGTCAAGTTTCTCAATCAGAAAAGGGACAGAGTTAACAGTCCCTCTACTAGTTCTGAAATGCTAGGACTCTAATAAACCTTTAGTTTAGGATACGTGCTTTGTTTGAACGGCATCAGTCCTATACAAAACACATTTTCGTTTAAGCCAGGCTACCTCAAGATGTCTAGGGAAGCAGCCCTTTCCAAATCGTCCCATAGCAAGCAAATCTCAGAAAACCAGAGGAAGGCAATGACTCATCTATGCCAGTCTCTCAACCAACTCTATGATGGTCTCTGAAAGCACAGAACTGAGCAACAAAAGGCATATTTAAAGGAATTTCGCATTCACATGTACTAGATTGCCTCAAATCGATGTGAATTCTTTTTTAAAAAATATTTTAAGTAATCTCTACACCCAACACGGGGCTCGAACTCACGAACCCGAGGTCAAAAGTCGCACGCTCCACTGACTGAGCCAGCCAGGTGTCCCTCTATGTTGATTCTTGACAACAAATTATATGCATGTAAACTTATCTAAAAAAAGAACAAATTGTTTTTTGCAAAAAATAATTTAACCTACTCTATCACTAAGTTCACTCTAGCAGTAAACTAATAAAACAAGGGATTTGAACAACAACACCCTATTTGTTTTTTGGTTCTACTACTCCCTGTTTTACAACGTCAATACCTTTATTTGAAAGCAAAAAATAAAAACCCAGAAGCTACTCAGGGAACAGTACTTGAAAGATGAGATATAAATGACAAAAGTGGACTCTTTTGTACAGAGGATCATTTAAATATCTCAAGCGAAAGGGGTGCCGGCCAACTCAGTTCGTAGAACATGGGGCTCTTGATGTTGGGGTCATGGGTTCGAGCTCCATGTTGGGGATGGAGTTTACTTAAAAAACAAAACAAAACAAAAAAAACCTCAAGCAAAAGAACAGGGAAACAGTAAAATCTAGCTTCCCCAAAACACCAAAAGAAAACATAATCTTTAAACAAAATAAGTAGTCAAAATGTCTGAAAAACTGCCTCAAAATAAGTGAAATATTAATTGTTTAATGAAAGATATGATTAAAAAAATTTTTTTTAACCTTTGTTTATTTTTGAGATACAGACAGGCAGAGTGCGAGCAAGGGAGGGGCAGAGAGAGAGGGAGACACAGGATCCGAAGCAGGCTCCAGGCTCTTGAGCTGTCAGCACAGAGCCCGACGCGGGGCTCGAACCCACAGACCACGAGATCATGACCTGAGCCAAAGCTGGAGGCTTATCTGACTGAGCCACTCAGATGCCCCAAAATACATGATTAAGTAAATGATAGATTATCAGCTTGATGGCTTATAACACAATCACTTAAAATAATAAATATGAAGATAGGGAGCAACACGGAAACAGAACAAAGCTGCACCAGCATTCTCAGCACAATTTTGTAAAAATATGCAAATATATGAAAACTAGAAGAAAAAACAACATAAAAGCGGCTGACATGAAAATATGGACAGAATTTTTAAAAACTGTCTAGAATGTTGTAATGCTGATTTAACAGTAATTTAAGACAGATTCACAGAAAGGTTTTCTAAATGTCCTTATTTAAATGCAGATGTGTTTGCTTTATGAGCAGTCACGAACTCACTTGCTTTAACTGGCTCCGTCTTTTTGACAAAAGCATAATATTTTCATTAAGTAAATCCCATTCTTTAGCCTCATAGCACATCTTCACCACTGCAACTAGGATACGGGATGTAGACACCATATCAGAAGCCTGTAAGAAGGAAAATACGCTGAGAGTCAACGGAACACTGTTAAATAAAATCAATGATAATTGAGGTTTTCACTATCATCTACTCACGGTGCGGGTCTGTTTCTCCAAAGAGAGAAGGGTTTCAATGACTTCTTGAAGTCTTCCTTCCTAAAACGAAAGATACAAGCGAACAATGAAAACACTACCGTCAACACAAGACCAAACAACAGTCTAAAATGAGAGGTTTCTGACACAAAAAGAAAAAAAATCCATTTTTGAGGAAAAGGTCCATCCCCATTACTATTATTGTTTTGTCCCTTTCCATCGTAGTGCTTGCTTTTCCTGTGGACTCCTTAAGTCAGTGGTTTCCAATTTGGGGTCCACAAGCTATTTTTAACATTTCAAATCACCTAAGAGAAACTGAATATAGAACAATAATTTAACACCCGAGAAAAACCTCAAGTCTTTGTTTTGGATTCTAATTATCAACTCAGTGTGGTAATACCAGATTATCTTGTTCTGAATAGACTCTTAATTGGCAGTCACACGTGTCTTTAAAGAGGAAAAATGGGGAAAATGAGTGATTTCTCTATGAAGTCACCATAACAAATACTTTAATACACGAAGTTCTGAGGGGCACCTGAGTGGCTCAGTCAGTTAAGCTTCTAACTCTTGATCTCGGCTCAGGTCATGATCTCACGGTTGGGGAGTTCAAACCCCGTGCTGGGCTTAGCACACTAGTAGCAGAGAGCTTGTTTAGGATTCTCTCTTCTTGCTCCTCCCCCTCTCGCTCTGTCTGTCTGTCTCTCTCTCTCTCAAAACAAATAAACTTAAAACATGAAGTTTTGAGGAAAAATAAAAAGGATATCTGGTGGTAAAAAGACAAGAAACCCTGGTTTTATTTTTCAATGACTTTTTTTTTTTAAAGTAAGCTGTATGGCCAAAGTGAGGCTTGAACTCACGACCCCGAGATCACGAGTTGCACGTTCTGCCAACTGAGCCTGCCAGGTGCCCCTAATTGTTCAATGCCTTTAAAAATAAATTATAACTGGGACACCTGGGTGGCTCAGTCGGTTGAGCGGCCGACTTCGGCTCAGGTCATGATCTCGCGGTCGGTCCGTGAGTTCGAGCCCCGCATCAGGCTCTGTGCTGACAGCGTGGAGCCTGGAGCCTGTTTCAGATTCTGTGTCTCTTTCTCTCTGACCCTCCCCCATTCATGCTCTGTCTCTCTCTGCCTCAAAAATAAATAAACGTTAAAAAAAAAATTTAAATAAATAAATAAATAAATTATAACTGTGCTTAAAGGAAATAAAGACCACCTGAGAATATCCATACATGCTATACCAAAGGTCATGCCTTTAAGCAGATACTGAACCAAATGGAATATACCCCTTTTGGTCAACTGAAAATGACCTCCATCTCATATGCAAAAACAAAATATTCCCCCTGGGGAGCACATTTGGAAACGGGAGTAACAAAATTCAAATCATATAAACCTAAATGATAATACACCAGGACTAAAATAAGCCATCCTATTAGAAACCACACATTTTAATAAAAACAAAACCAGCCCACAGCAAAAAAAAAATTACAAGTATTTAAGATACTGGTATTAATAACAATGAATGAATCAAAAGTGATGAGGATTTTATTTTGAAATTGTTTTTCTAACTATAAATGAAAAAAAAATTAAGTTTATTTATTTTGAGAGAGAGAGAGAGAGAGAGAGAGCGTGCGCGCGCGCGCCTGTGCAGGACAGCAGGGCAGGGACAGAGAGAGAGAGGTAGAGAGAGAGAGAATCCCAAGCAGGCTCCGGGCTGTCAGTTCGGGG